TTGGATGCATGTGTTTGTGACCTTACACAATCGTGTGAGTGCCCTTTACAGCATGTGTTTTTTCTCTGTGTCAGCAAACACGTAGCCTAATGCATAATTCATGTCACCTTCACAAAGTCACCTTATTAAGAGTCAGTGTCATGGCACAGGATGTGGACAATGCTGCCCTCGCAAGACTGGACCTGGAGCGGAAGGTCGACTCGCTCCAGGAGGAAATCAACTTCCTCAAAAAGCTGCATGATGAGGTAAGCTTCCTTTTATTGTGGCAACAGCTGAATCAGTCGACTGCGGAAACACTGCGTATGTACAGCTTAATAAGCTCATGATCTGAAGTATTTGTTAATCTGCTCAGGTATCAAATTGGTAGGGTTCTATGCACCAGAGATTACCTAATGCAGCCAGGAAAGTCATAGACAAGTCTACAAAAGGGCATATTATTTGTACATACTACGCTGTATTGATTCTATTGCAGGAAATGCTGGAGCTGCAGAGTCAGATCCAGCAGCAGCAGCATGTGCAGGTGGATATGGAAATAGCTAAGCCGGACCTGACAGCTGCTCTGAGGGACGTCCGTCTGCAGTATGAGAGCCTGGCCTCCAAAAACATCCAGGAGTCTGAAGAATGGTACAAATCCAAGGTTAGGATTTAACCATCGCAATTAAAAAAATTCTGTAGATCAATAAAATTTAAAGCAGCTATAATCAGTCCTTTTAGTGGGTCCCATGGCCAATGATATGAACCTATAGAGAATTATCACTTTACTTTGCAATTCCCATCAGCTCTACAGAGCATTGTAGTGTCTCTCAGCACATTGTTTGGTTTCTTTACTGTTTTGGCTCAGTCTCACTGCTCTCATCAGTGTAAGTTTTGGCTGCAGTAGGCAGCTGTTTTCAGTGGGGAAAAAAAAAAGATTTTCCTCGGGAGTTGGTGGAGACCAAAAACAGAGCCAAAAGAGAGTGAACGTTAAATTTACATGCATCTGGTGGCCAGAAACACGCCTCCAAATGAATGATAATGTAATTGCTGCATATGTAAATAGGCAGCTGTTTTCTAACAAGTTTACCATATCAACTTAAAAAGTTGTTTTGCTTGCATCATGTTTCCACTGTCCAAGGTGGCCAGAAAGTCAGCTGGAGCAGGGTTTTAATTAAATATAAATATTGTTTCTTTTTGAAAAGGCATTAGGTAATATGACAAAATATTAAAAAGCAGTTTTGTAAAGTGGAATCTTTCTGTCTGTATGACCTTTGAATGTTGGCAGTAACCAGTATTTCAGTGAATACTGGTTGCAGCAGTGCCTCAAAATGCCCTAAAACTGCATCAACCACCAAGCTGCAGTGTAATGTCTGTATGTCTCTTTTGTGGCCACATCTTTCATAATTTGCAGTACCTCACACTATCTGCCACATCCAGTCTCCCTCAGCCTCTGACTCATCACTTATTGAACAGCTGATTTCTCTCTTATTTTCCCCCCTTTCTCTCTGTGTCTCTGTCTTTCTGTTTGTCACTGATTGATAGTTTGCTGACCTCACCGAAGCTGCAGCCAGGAATAATGATGCTTTGAGGATGGCTAAGCAGGAGGCCAATGACTATAGACGCCAAGTTCAGGCGCTTACTTGCGAGGTGGATGCCCTCAAGGGAACTGTGAGTATGCAACTTTGGGCTGACATTGTAGTAGACAAGATAATGGTGCAAGATTTATATATAGCTAGGGTCAAACGAACTGGCCAGAAAAAGTTCACAGAATGAGCTGCATGAGTTTGACTAATGACACAGCATAGAGGAAAATATCCAGGGAGAGTTTATTTTCACAGGTCACAGCAAAAAAATCACCCTTGCATGATATTTTTTATTAGAAACGAGTTATTTTCACTGCCTGAGCGTCATATTGTTCCCTGTTGGCTGCCATCCCAGAATGAGTCAATGGAGCGCCAGATGAGAGAGATTGAAGAGAACTTCTCCTTGGAGACGGGAGGCTACCAGGACACTATCGGCCGTCTCGAGGAGGACATTCATAACATGAAGGACGAGATGGCCCGTCACCTCCGAGAGTACCAAGACCTCTTAAATGTCAAGATGGCCCTTGACATCGAGATCGCCACCTATAGGAAGCTGCTGGAAGGAGAGGAGAGCAGGTGATGGATCAAGACAGATCTGACAGAATTGCATTTGAGCACTCATTACATGCAACAAATACACATATGTTGATTTGTGAAATGTTCTTTAATCCGTTTTCAGAATCTCCACCCCATTGCCAAACTTCTCATCTCTCAACCTGAGAGGTACAATCACTCTCTGCATGTTGATTTCACCACAGGAATGCTAGTATTGGTTATTACTGTATATTGCCAGTTGATAATATAACACATCATTTTTTTTTCTTAGAAACAATGATTGATTCCAAACCTCATGTTGAAAGCACAACAACTAAGAAGGTTCTCATCAAGACCATTGAGACCAGGGATGGTCAGGTAAAATCCACTTGAAGTGATTTTCAGTCATTGAAGCAATTTTCTTACAGTCATTTGAGCTCAACCACAACTCTTGGTCGTCATGGTTTCTCTGCCCTCTGCACCCATTTCCAGGTGATCAACGAGTCAACCCAGAACCACGATGACATGGACTAATAATGTCTTTGTCTTTGCCAAACAACAAACAAAAAGCAATACGAAGAAACACAATTCACTGGAGCTACAAGCAAGCAAACAAACCAACAACACACAAAAGCAGACAGCTTCAAAAAGTGCCTTTATATGTGATGATCCAGTTAGCCTGTTAGTTGACACAGACTGTATTTTGCTTCCTCCTCTGCTGAAAGTCTTATCTTTTGTCACATTTGTTTAGACACAATAATGAATTCAGCACAACATAGAATTCCTCACTGAGGTCTACAAAAATCTTTCTTTGTAGCCAAAGTAGTATTTTTGATTGATAGAGCATGCACACTCATGGAAATCTGTATGCTGAAGATGTCACAATTGCCTGTACGCAGCAATAAACAATTAAGAGTGAAACTCAATACTGTGCACGAGGTCTAATACTTTGCACCACATTATGGTAATGAAGCAGCATTTGGTAAAAGAAGTCCAAAAAAAGGGAAATAGTTGTCATTTTAATTAATGCCTGAACTGTAAACAGGTACACATTTGCAAGTAATTAAATTGTGCAATTGATCTTGAATTTTTTGTGAAAAACATTAAGAATACTTTCTTGACCTCTATGACCTGGACGAATGAGAACATTCACAGACATTAAGAATACTATTCTAATGATTTTTACGTGAATTAAACATGCATTTTATCAGTGTAAATGTGTGGATTCAGACGGGTAAAATAATAAGATTTGGTAAATATCAATTGTGATAAGTGTAACAAAATGAATTTTGTACTTTAATGAAGTTTTTCCATTTTATGCTACTGTATTCTTGAACTCCACTATAAGGAAATATTGCTCTTTTTACAGCTCTACATTTACAGCTATAGTTGCTACATTTTTCAGCTTTCACATGTGAAACGTGATAGGTTTTTATTGTTGTCAATAGTTTCTCCACCAGTGAATTAAGTACGAACATGTAATATTAGGCAGAATTGTGTGTGATAAGCTTAACAGTGATCTGGAGCAATGGGCATTTGTCATTATAATCACCACGAGTACATAATAATAAACAGTGCTGGAGCACTTACTGAGGTACTGTACTTTTTGCGGTAGCCTGCATGTACATTTTAAAGGCAAATATTGCAACTTTTGTTGCACTACATTTTTTTTTTTTAAAGCCAAAGTCACTTGTCACATTTAGATTTTATATACAAGTAACTGATAGGAATAGTACTTTCTTAAGTGTAATATGAAAAAATAATATTACCAAAATAAAATAGCATCATCACAAAAACATGATCTGTCACAGGTCACTTGTTCAAGATGTATGAACATTGAGGTTGCAGAATGAGATTTAATGTGGCAGTAAAGAAAATGAGAGAGGCAAATTCTACAGAGGAGATACTGTGTCCCTGGATCTTTAATAAAAGTTGAAAATTACAATAGATCATTGGTTTAATAAAGTTGTATGCAAAAGTGAACTTTCACCTCTGGGGAAATTACAGATCTGGTTGATTTTCATGAAATGAAATAAAAACCCTGCAGCAACAGACACTCAAAATGAGCATTCAAATATTAATGCACTGTTAGTTTTATTTCATGAACTTAAAAAAGAAAGAAAGAAAGAAACCAGTAATTGTGACAAAATGCAAAATATCTGTTTTTAGTTAATGAAATAAAGTCACATTTGTAGAAAGGCTAATTTTAAATGTCCGTTTGCTGCAGGGATGCCCAAACGTTTGGGCAGTTTGCATGCAGTTCTGATCAAAAACCAAATTTTCAAATCTAAGGAACTTTCCTATAGGCCTATGTTGGTCTGAAGTCACTACCAAACCTGTTGCATTTGGCTGCCACCTGTCGGTGATTGATATCAACTAAACTCTCTCCTCTGGTAGGTCACCGAGAGCAGGACACGTTGGACACGATACCAGCCGGTACTATTGATTATCATGAACAACATTGAGGTTGATTGAAGTCGGTGAAGCGCAGGGTAGGGTTTCTGTTCATTTTAATAATCCAGGATACCCGAGGGTTAATTAATGCCGCTTGTTTTTGCCTGCTTGCCCCGAGAGATCAGTGTGTTTGTCGACAGCAACTTTCTCCATGTGACGTGTTTGTCGGTGGAAACGAACCGAGGGAGACGCCGGCATGATCCGTTTAAACTTTGTGTTTCGGTTCTTTCATCGATTTTACATCATGTTGTCGGTTATGTTCGCTAAAACTGAAGTTAAGATAACTGTTAATGAATGACAGAAGCGTGTCTTTATTTATTCCAGAGCACTGTTTACCGTGACGAATAGAGCAAAAATGGAGTCAAGTTTCAACAGGTTTTGAATAAAATGAAAGGTAAACTCAGAGTAACCGATTCCGACTGAGGGGTTTTAACCTTTTTTTTTCTTTTTGTGATGGGCTCGGTGACTTCTGCTTTGACAAGGACAAGAAACGCCTTGGTGAAAGTGGGCTCAGAGCCGGAGAACCCTGACCCGGAGAGGAGCCAGTCCGCCCCGGAGTCAGACCGGACCAGGAAGAGGAGCGCTCGGTTTAACGTTTCCATCCAAGCTGGGCGGCAGAGTTCCCGCCAGTCGCTGTCCGAGGTCCTGAGCCGACAAGACTCCGAAGGAACCAAACAAACCTCGAAGAAAAAGACTTGTGAAGGTCCACAGAGCGGTGAGTTGAGAAAGGTCTTCCTACTATTTCGATTTGTGTCATAGAGGTTATTCTTGCTCCTTACAGCAAAAACAATCATACCACTAAATAATAGTCAAGACTGGTGGAAAGTAACCAAGTAAAAGTTGCAATGCCACAATGTAGAAATACTCCATTACAAGTAAAAGGCCTGCATTCAAAATTTACTTTAATAAAAGTACAAAACTATGACCCTCAAAATCTCTCAAAGTTGTACTTAATTACAGTACCTGAATACATGTTGCCTAATTAATTATATTCCACCATTGTACTTGAACAATTTTAAACTACCCAGCAGTACATGGAATACCTAAAAGCTCCTCTTCAACCGACCAGAAAATAAAGTACCACTTTCAATAATAATGATTTAATAATGCAATACTTCTCTTGGGCATGTTTACTTTTTGAAAATTCCTTCCACCACCAATGACAAAAAGACCCTTTCTCAGCAGATATTTTGACTTGTCATAGTGGGAAAAGCACAGGTGGAACTAATAACATTAATGATGGCTCAGCTCCAATAAGTGTCCCAGTAAGACATCACATGTGGAATATTTCACAGTAGGATTGTACGAGTTAGAGTTAGTGAATGGCAAGTTATTTTCTTATTAGACTGCCACTGCTCCGTTTTTTTTTGGAGCATCCTGGCCTCAAATACAGCTGTTGTGTTACTTTATACTGCACCGGTTCAGTTCATGGATTTATCTGTAGATGAGAGCAACTGGTCACTTCAGAGGGTTACAGTGAATATGCTGCTGAAAAAAAAGGTATTCAATGAATGAATTCTGAGCTCTTTGAAGGCCAGCCTCAATGCAACATATCTCCACTACCAAAGCATCTCTTTGATGTTTGAGGTGTTGCTAACACTGAAACAATCAAAAATAACAGTCCCCTTTTATGTGATATAGGGATTTGGTATTTGATATGTTTTTCCTTTTCTTCTTTTTTAAAAAATGGAAATACATGTAGAAATTTTACCGAATCAGCATGAGTTGGAAAAAGGTTGACTGCACACTCTGCTTTTTCAATTTTATTGCATCGCCACTGTTTCACTTGCATTTTTTGCAGGGAAGTTAAATTTCAAATGAAGGTGTGAAATTGCAATTTTGTACTGTTTTCTGTGACAGATAGCAGATACGTTTTGATAGCAGTTTACAGTTCAGTGAATGTGTGTACAGTGAATGAGCGCAGTCCAGTTTAAATCTGTGATGCAGCTTGTGAAAATTACCTTATTGTTCCATTAAAATAAATGTTATAAAGGCCACATTTTCACCCCCTAAACTGACATAATATTTTCCTACAATTTTCTTTTTTGTGTTACTCAATATTTCCTTCACTTCATCCTGTTTATCTTCTACTCTCTGCCGGTGCCACCTCTAGTTCCAACTCCCTGCACATCTGTCCCAGAGGAAAATACCTCTCCCTGGCTGACTCCTAAAATACCAACTGTACTGTGGTGTTTCCATGACCGTATGACAGTGTAGACTCCCGTTGAGTTTCCTCCTTCGTCCCGAGTGATCTTCATGTGTGTTGAGGAGTCTCCTCCCTGACACTTCAGCTGACTGTACACTCATTTGCTCCCTCCTGAGGAACAAAACACAGACACCTACATCCTGATCTGCTTATCTGCTTTGGCCCCTTTAGTGTCAGACAGTTCCAGTGGTGTATAGATCCCAACCACTGCTGAGTACTAAAGTGTAGACATAGCAGAAAACAGTTTGACATCAGTTCTCACATCTTTAGACCATGGCTCTTATTGGAGCTGCCATGCCAAATGAGGCCACACAAACTCGTAGTTAAGATGGATGGATCATTTTAATCAATGTCAAGGCTCTTTCAGCTACCCAGAATACATGATCAGTGCGGCAGGAGCTCAGTGGGAAATGTCTCACAGTCAGTCATACTGTCAGAGATACTGAGTAGATATAACCCAGTGAGGAGATTCTATAATAATAGTGATGTTGAAGAGCTACAATTACTCTGCTGTTGATTGCATTACTGGTGCAAGAACTAGATCGTATTGTTTGAGACTGTAGTGACACACATTTTTCAGGGGCATGAGCATGCCATATCTGCAGGCTTGTAGTTCGAAATCATTGGCAGGTCTTTCAGTTTCCTTATTAATGTGTAATAGGGCTGCAACTAATACAGTAATGAAAAATGCTTATCACTGTTTCCAGAGCCCCAGGTAACATCTTCAGATGTGTTTGTTTTGTAATACCAACAATCCAAAACCCAAAGGCATTCAGTTTACAATGATTTTTACAATGATGTTTACAATGAAAAGCATTAAATCTGCACATTTGAGAAGCTAGAAGTGGCAAATGTTATCAAATAATAGTGAGGGAAGAAAGACTTCTTTTAAAGCCACAAGCAGCTGAAACTGTGCTAATTGTTTTATATTTACAAACACAAATTCCCCAAAAAGCTTTAACATAATATAATATAGTTGTAAACAGATATAAGGACATTTAAGTCTTTATTAATGTACAGTATATATCAGCAATCAGAACATTTCCTATGTTTTACTATATTGTCATTTATTATCTGTCCTCCAGGAGGAGTTTTACTGTTGACAGATACATTAATAAACATTTATATCTCCTTACAACCACTTTATAGTTTATTATTAAACCATTGCTTATTAATGCTAAATAGGGGGATGAAAGTATATAAAACGTGATTAAAAAGTTAACCAGTAGATCGTCATGTATAAATTTGCATCAGGCACTGAAAGAAACACTGTAAACAGTGTTCCCATTATTATAACATTTGCGTGTGTAAAAAGCAGCTACGAATTAAGTCAAAATTTGAATGATCTTTATTCACAAAGTCCTTGATAAAACAGTGTTTGTTGTGTATGTATATCAATCAGCAGGGGATTGCACATCAAACAGTTCAATTTTATTTATTTTATTTCATTTCTTTATTAAGTAGTGTTTTTGGAAAAAATACTACTAACTAAAATACAAACCAAGCTGCGAGACAACAAAACAATAGAGAACAATCCATTACAAATCCAGTGACATGTGATGCAGCTGTGACACATGTCATAAGTAATTGACATCACTTTACAATGACAATGGTTACAGCATGTGTGCCCCATATGGCAAATATGTTTTCTATCTATTCCTTCATCTTCACATCTGATCCTTTCAGCTCTGCCTCACAGTGGGAGGAAGACATATTGAACAAGGAATAGATGCAGGTGAAGGAAGAGAGGAGGCAAATAAATAGGGAACCAGAAAGAGCCTCTTTAGTGGAGATTTAGGCAACCCTATGTGTGAATTACACTCAGGTGTAATTTATGTGTATTTACAAGTTGCATTCATTAGAAATGTTTTCTGTCAGTGCAGGAGGTAGTGTGATGTTCATATGGCGAAGTGAAAAGCATGTGTTTAGGTCAGGGTGATGGGTTTGAACTGTCTAGTCTGCGTTGCCATTTTTGATGTTCAGTCATGGTGACAGGTTTTTCCCTAACTTTAATTGAGTTGCTTTAGTTGCCAAGTCTTAACTATACCTAATAATGTAATTTAAACAAATGTTTTGGCTGTAGTCTGTATCTCCAACATGTTGCAGAGTTGTTTCATGGTAATGTTAATGACGTTTCTGTTGCTATTGTACAGTAGAATATGAACATAATTTCTTCCACTTGGGGCTGTATATATTTGCCTCTTCACATATATTTAAAGGAAAGAGAAGAAAGAAATTTGCAGTTAAGCACATTACTAATTTAGGTTTTGTTTTTAAAATCATCACCCACTGTGAGTGTCTTGGTTCAGTCTTCACAGTCTCACACTCAGTTGAGTCTCAAAACAACATGTGTGATAAAAAGTGTAGTTTTCTGACTCCGACTAAATAACACTGATTAGTTGCTTTGGTCTTTGGTCTTTGGGAGGTGGATGTCTGGGGTGTGTAAGACGCCTGGTTCTAATCAAAAGATTTTCATTTGTTTGCCCTGCTGACCTCACACTCACCCAGCTGGTTATGCCTCTTTGATCTGGAACCATGCTGTTGCAAAAATCATTAGCTAAACTTGTGCTCTGTATAGCTTGATACTCCCCCCCCATTTTCTTCAGGGTCTTTGGTACAGCAAGATTCAGATGACACTTCATGTTGCTCTCTGTTTTGTCAGCTCATTTCCCTTAGGTTTGCAACACAGGGTAACATTACCCTTAAAGGTGCATCTAATGAGTATTTAGCTGGGGAAAAGGCACGCTCCCTAGCAGCCTCTGTGTCTTAATTACATGACATGTGTGTCACTGTGGTGACAGTGGTGTGGGGACTGACAAAGTGTGAGTCGTTCCACAGTCTAGGGGAGACCTCTAATGAGCTTGTTTTTCTGTCTGATTGCGTAGTTGTTGTCTTGAAACATGATGTGCTATTGGGACAGATTACACAATCAAAAAGCCTGTAAACTGATGTCATGTTTGGATGAACTACTCAATAAAATTTCAGATTACCAGTTACCAGAAAATGAGGACAGTGTAGAAATACAATCGTGTTAGTTATTATAGTGATTTTTATCCACAATATACCTTATTAATCTGAGAGACCAATATATGATTTAAACATGCAGATGTAGGTATTGGATAGGATCTCAACTGAACACAAATAAAAATGGGATTATTTAAGCATTGTGATTAATTTAGTGTAAAAGGCTATTTCTAACCCCCAAGTTTGTCTTCATCTCCCCTTTATCTTCACAACTAATTTATGTCTATCGGTGATGGCCTGTCCTGGTGTTTGAAGGCCAGATCAAAGGTTGAATGATCGTTCACCTTCAATGGACATACAGCAGGAGCAAGCAGGTGTGTTTTTGTGTCAACAATCCACTGTAGCATTGCTACAGTTTAAATTTAAAGTGAAAAATTTGCTATGTGGAATTCACATAGGATTTGTAACTTTTGCAATCATCCTATAAAAGCTAAATGAGATCTGCCTCTGTTGCATTATTCCAACAAGCACTGTCTGCACAGATG